GACTCGATTCTGTTAGGATCAGAGCATACAGAATCACCCTGTGACAAAGATTATATGTTCACTTCATGTCATGTAACATCACATCAAATGATTTTAGAAAGATCATTTTGGGGGCAATATGGAAAGGTTAAAGATGCTTCTCAGAGAGAAAACTAAAGTGTGTTTCTTCTTACGTGGAAGGTCAAGGTACATGCTATCCTCCCTGCCTCATTCAGACTGTTCTCAGAAATCACCAGTCAGGAATTCCAGCTGGTGTTGTCTGTTATCCATCATTCATTCTCTTTGACTTCCCAACAGTGAGATTTTGACACTGGTAGTGGTCCATGCCCTGCCCAGCTCTAATATTAAAAATCAACACCTGTCATCCTATACCAAATAGGATACAGACTTGGAAACCAAGGTGCCAGTGAGGAACACATTAACTAGAAATGCTTGTGAGCATGTGTATTTGGGTCTGTAGATTAAATAAATGAGAGAATTAAAAGTAAAATAGTCCTTTAGACTCACTTCATTAGGCAGGGATATTAATGACAAGGCATTTAGTTATTTTTTGGTTCATGAACTTAATCACAAAATTTTGAGATTGAAGCATAATTGCATTAATGACTTATTTGTACTTATGCATTGATTTTAGTGTTGTTTAGTAAAGGTACATTAATGGCACTAACCCTCCAGACATTGTTTGATAAGTCCATGAATCATAAAAAGGAAAAAAGAAGGCAACAGTACTTCAATGGTGTCATCTCTTGGTGCGGATTCATCTATTGTTAAGTAGTTTATAACTTTAAGAGCAATTTAGTATAAAATAACTCAAAATGACTCATACATACATGTATATATATATTTAGTTATTTTCTAAGACACTAAAAGAGAATGAATTCATCCAAGTTTCTTAAAAATTCATTTCTAGGTCAACACATATTCAAGAACAAAGCATTTCTAGAACATTACTCTGCATGTATATCTATATAATTCTTCACAATATATATAGAATATATTAATTGTGTCATGTACTATAGTATGAATAGTTGTTGGCTAGGAATTTAAAAGTGCAAAACAATTTAAAAAATAAGGGCCAAAAAAATCAAAAATGAAAAGTGTCAAATATTTACAAAGTCAATTTGAGAATAACTTTGTAAATGATTTCAAAATTTAGAAAATACTCAGGAATAGTTACCATTCCTACAGAAAGAAGAAATGCCTTAACTATGCTCCTCTTTCTCAGGTTCCCTTGAGCTGATTTCTTTTCTTCTTTGGTGATAGTCATTGCTCAGATAATGTACATTTACAGCACACCTTAATTCTCAACAAACTGGAATGGACAACTATGGCTGAATAAAGGCAGGCAAATATTTAAAAAGGTTTACCTGCTTAAAAATACATTACTGTGCCATTGTTAATTTCAATTTGATGAGCAAGTTGCATTTTTACTGAACGTTCATAGGTGCACACTTAAAAAGTAAGATGGGGACAAGTATTTCTGTGCCTGGTGGAAGAAATGACTTTCTAATATGCACAGTTCATAACCCCTTGCCTACCCAGTCATAATGATATTCCAGATAAGAAAAATGATCAGAATATTAAGATGTCAAAAGGCTTAGCCTGTCATCATATCAAAAAAATATGAAAATGTCTTTGCTTAAAACCTTTTCTGTCATACAGCTCTTGCTAGAGTTTTCGCTACTAGTGTTGCCGCATGAAGATGATAATGTTTATTTTGCTGTAAATATCAGTTCCAGGAGGTTTTAAACATTGGCTTAGGTTTTAAACATTGTTCCCTTTCAGGTATATCTTTGAAAGAAAGCTCTTTAAGAAAGATCTTTTGTGTATTTAATAATCGGTTTTGTTTTGCTTAAAAAGGGATCGCCCCTTACATGATTATGCAGAGTCCCCTGCAGGGTCTGGTGAAGAGCTGCCATCCCCTTTCTGTTTCTTGAAGTGATGCTGACTGAGCTGCATATTCTGCTGGTGCTGAAAAGGACACTCGGCAGCCCACAGGATATTTAAGGCTACCGTAAGCAGTGTAGGCAAATGGTGCTTTCCTATGACCGCAGAAATATTTTCCTTTTCATTTGCCCCTATGTTCTTGATGATCATCTTCCATTGTTGTGCTGTGTTATACAAAGAATGAAGCAAAGTATCTGAACTAAAATAATTGAGCAGAGGGCAAATCGTACATGTGCATCATGTGTCTGTATGCATACACATTCTGACTGGCGTAATACCAAGCACAGCTGTTTTGATGTAGCTATAAGATATTGCACGGATTATTCATCCTGTACCTCTGGTTTCATACTTGTTTCATAGAGAGAGGCATATTAAAAATTTCGCATAAACTTTGAAAGGTATAATGTGAAGTGCTATGAGAATGATTATTTTTATTTACCTTGAACAGATCTGTGAGAGGTTCATTGCTTTATGACTAAACACTATTTTACCTGACATTGAAAAGAAAAGCCTTTCAGTATTTTCTCATAAAGTAGTAGATCCATATCCATAGAATGCAATGGAATACATTAAAACTATTTTATAAATCTATCTTGGATATCTCCAGCTCTGCCAAATACATGACCCTTTACTTTAACTATTATGAGATGGAGAGTTTATAAAAATGTTATATAGTGATTAAGTCATTCTTTTAAGTCTTCAACAACCCTTTTTGAGTTTTACTTTGTGGTAGGAAAATGATTGGCACCGGGGCTTCACAGATATAAGTGATTCATATTAATAACGATGTAAATTGTGAAAATATATTAGTGCTTTGTGATAAGATTTAGAAAATCCATGTTGGCAATTATAGCTAAATCAAGCAATTAACCTAATTTTAAACACCAACAAAAGTCTGTAATGTCCTTTACTTCTCTGAAATTAGGCCAGAGATATTGCTCAGTGGCACAAGTGCCTGCCCGGCAAGAGTAAGGTCCTGAGTTCCGTTTCCCGTACCAAAAATATATATCTGAAATTAAATTGATGAAACACAGGGACTAGAGTCTTACCGGCCCCCAGGAAAACACAGTTACAAACAACCAGGAGGGCAGTTTTTATTTTCACCCTCCGTGTATCTCTGCCGAGTTTTCATGTTCATTTTTTATCTCAATATAATATTGATTCAAATTTCTAAAAATCTGGGTCAAAAATGGTTATCTCAGAGGAATTAACTTGTAGGTGTGACAATGGGTATAAAAATAAATGAGCATGTGCATAGTAAATAAATCACTAGAATCAAGAGATTTCATTATCAGAAAATCAAAAGAAGAAGCTTATTTACATAGTTATGTTAGATAGGCAATAGCTACATACATATATATATATATATATATATATATATGGAGAGAGAGAGAGAGAGTATGTGTGCATGTGTGTGTCAAATTAGAAGTTATAGAATGAATCACAAAGACTTTTTTGTTGGCTCTTTGTTAGGACATTTGTCTCTCTCAAAAAATAGAGTAACAGTGGCAATTTTGGTAGATGTTTCATGATGTAAGTCCTTCTTTTGCTAAACATATTATTGCAGTAGGGATGATGATTTCTCAACAACACCACAACCACTTAATTGAATTATTATCAAGCCCTCATTGAAAGCACTCTTTGTACCACAAATCATCTTCTATTTTTATCTACTATAAATGTATAATTGGGAAAATTTTAATTATTTTGTTATTATTGTTATTGTTCCAAGTACAATGCCAAGCTGATGAAATTTCTCCAGTTTGAAGAGTTAAAAACCATAGTGACTTATATATACATATGTATATTTTTTTAATGTAGAGAATAGTAAATGTTTATATTCAGAAGAGTGCTAGCTTTTCAATAATCTTAAAGAGCATATACACTAAAATGCTAATGGCATAAGAATTAATATGCTTATAAAATTAAAGTTAAATTCTTTCAGTCTGTATTTATTATTCAATCTAGTCCATGTGCCAAATAGAAACTATGTGATATAATTCTTGTTCTCAATTATATTGTAATTCAAGGGTAAATTAAAATACATATTCAATAATTACTCTCCTCTACTCTATTACTCTCTTGGATAGATATAACCAGAATCTTGTCCTTACTGAAATTGCTCTATCAACAAAATCACTAAATCAAACATCTCATTTTCTGATCATAATTTCTGAGGCTTTATAGTTTAATTATTCAGTAACTCTCACCATATTCATACTTCAACTTTTTTCAAGACTTTGGTCTGCAAATATCTCTATTTTCACCCTACATATCAGTCAGTGTTCTGATTTCCATCCTCTCACTCCTGGGTGTATTCCACAGTCCACTTGGTAAGCTCTTTGCCAAAGATCTAAACATTCATATTTCGTTTACCCCTGGCTGGCCAGTCCTGTAGCTTGCATGAGAACAGACACCTTTTCCCCATATCTGCCTCCAGACAGGTGAGTACAACTATAAAAATCAAATAAATATGCATTATGCATAATAATTTGTTGTTTGTAATAGCCAGTGATGAGGACTTAGTCAACGTTAATTATCCTGATTTCATTATAATGTCAGTTGAAGTGAATTATTAGGGGAAAGTGGAAGGCAGGGAAATAATCCAGATAAAGGAAACTTTGCTTTGGAGTTTCAGAAACAAAAGACAATGATCGAGCTTAAAGAAAAATAAGGCACAACTGACAAAAGGTAAAATAAAAAAGAATATGAACATTGAACATTTGGAAGACCAAAAAGTGAATTATCTAGGGTGTAAAAAGGAACAAGGAAAGGTTTCTATTTGAAGTTATGGGAGTCAGGGTCCTGATCACTTACTGCTTAAGAGATCCCATTAAAGTTTGCTTCTCTGTGCTGAAAAATACAATATTCTACTTCTGATGTCAGGTCTGCATGCAAAATATTTCAGACTGCAGCTCTTGGGGTTTCAGTTTAGGGATGCTCACTTTAGTGTCCCTTAAAAAATCTATTATATTTTTATGATGTGCTCATTGCAGAACATTTTTATTCTCCCAAAGCTCACATTACTCATCTTCTTTTCTCATCATTCTCAGCAGATATGCTCATCACAAGACTACTGAAGACAATAGAAGTCAGCTGAAGAGAACTCATCAAACTGCTAAGCATCAAAAGTATGCTGCATGTGCCACTGTCTCCCACCCACTTCTTCTTACAGCCATACGGGTGGTATCCATGTTTTATGCGAAAGTCTACTATACTCAGATTCCATCCGATTTCACCTGCTCTGGAAGATTTTTAAAAAATTAATTATCTGCTCTCGTCTGTCTCTTTCCATTTCTAAATACTGAAATCTTTCCATCAATATGTAAAAATGCTCATCCAAAGTGTGAAAATCTATGAGACATGATATCACCAATGGAAACGTTCACATTCACCTCATATGATAGGTCAAAGTCAAACTACAGGCATATTAAAAGCATAACATACAAAAATTAAGTTCAGATTATGTGTATGGATTGTATATGCATCAGTGAATTTTGGTTTAGACTTAGGTCCCATCACCAGGGTGTTTCTCATTCTGTACATGAATTTTTCCAAAATTCAAGAAAACCTGAAATCCAAAACACTACTAACTGCAAGCACTTTGGATAAAGGGATACTCAACCTGTGCTAAGTTTAGACATTATGCTACCATTTGAAATTTATCTTTCTTCAACAAAGTTGCTCACATTACCAGACTTAAAAATGCAAGATTGCAGCAGATAATAATAGGATAATAAACCAACCACTGTTATTTCTTATCATTTTGTTTTGAAACCCTGTATCATTTTTATTGTTTTGTTTTTGTTTATGTTCTTTAGTTTTTATTGTTTTTAAAATAAAAAAATTATCTTTCTGCACTACTCTCAAACTATGTCAGATATCCTGAATTATTCTATGGTACTTTTAAGTACATAATATTATTTGACAATTATTATTCATGTTTTCTAATTTATTAATATATAGACTGTGTGAAAAACCATAAACATTTTGTTCATTATTGTGCCTACAGTGTCTACGTCTTCACAAATATGACCAAACAGATATTTGCAGGATAAATTAATGAATGGGTGAACTGACAGGGATAGATCGATGTCACTTTCAAGAGTTCTGTGCTACTTAATGTGTCCATGAAATACTCTTGGGTATTTTTGAAAGATACTGGGTACTTTTGATTTAATTTGATAATAAATTTGTACACATATGGTTAGTTATCTCCAGATCTAGCCCTTGAGGATAGGAGTATATTTTTAGTATTGCTAATGTCCCTGAGCTTTGCACTGTTTCCCCCCTGCCCCACAGGGGTTCCTCAATAAATGTTTGCTGAATAAATGGTAGTAGTTAGGACAAAAGGCAGTTGCACAAATAAATAACCATAGTAACTCAATATATAGCTGTCTTAATTTGTGGAAGTGGAATATTAGAAAGTAAAAGAAATACTTTTCTTTTCTTACCACAGTGAAGAGAACAACTAAGTGACTTAACATTGTCAAGTTCGTTAATGGTTGTAGCAATAATCTTGACCCAAAATTGCTGTTCTCCAATACTGTTAAAAGAAAAACCACTAATTTAAACTGAAGAGTATATTTTTTGAGAAGCATAGAGGCAGGATGAATTCTTGACATAAGAGACTGTTAGACAGTTAGTGTTGGGTATTGTAGGAGCTCTTTCTCTGAAGATTGTTAAGAATTGATGACAGTTTAGGTATAGCTCTGCCTGGAGCCACAGGAACTAATTGGATGACCCCTCTACTTAGCAGCTTCCACTATGAAGAGTGCTACAGGAATTCTCCCTGCAGATGGCCTATAGCAACTAGGACAGGATAGTCACACATCCAGGAACTTCAATAATCAAGTGTCATAAAATACATTCCAAAGAAAAGCTTGTTAGCTATCCCTAGTATGTGAACATTCTATAAATGTTTACATTTTGCATAATTGAATCATCCTTCATAGCATACATTAAATTAGTGTTAGAATTCTGGCTATTCCAGTCCTTTGTCTGATATAAATCTGTCAGCTATTTGTGGAGTGTCCACAGGGTGTTTAAGATGTCACATGTTACTCAGAGTTCATAGTTGCTCCTACAGGATTTATCAACTAATAGGATAGATAAAGTCACTGAAAAGAAAATCTTTACAGACATACAAACAAAACTATACTTCTGTAAGTGTAATCATAGGAGAAGTGAACATCAAATTCTATAAGTTCCAAGAAAAAATGGAAAATATTCATAGAAAAAGTAATGATGGAAAATCTTAGAGGCCGTACAAAGAAAATGATATCTTTGTCAGTTAGAAGGGGAAATTTATTTCTAGCACTTGGAAAGGCTTGGAAGACATCTATTTCCAAGAGTAGGAAGAAAGATTTAATAAGCGAAGAGCAAGAAGATGAATAAGATTAGTGACAACAGAGGGTGCAGATTTGGTTTATATGCATTCAAGAAATAAAGTGATCCTTGCAGATGTCTGTCTGGATACTGTAACATATGCACTGGTTACTGCTTACTGTAAAACACATACGTCTTTGTCTAGGTTACATAGCCATAGTGTCCAGAAATATTCTTCCATTCGACACCACCTTTATCAGAGCTCCTGTGTTGGCATAAGACAAGATTTAGTTTGGAGCAAAATCTGAGATTTTAGCTTAGTTCAGTCATATCTGTAGTAGTTGTATGACAAAGATTCTCAAGTTTTCCAGGGTTTAGTCTCTTCATCCATAAATAGAGATGTCTAATTAGGTAGAGATTCTCAACAGAAACTGTAATGACCCACGGCTTTTTTGGGGAAATGTAATTTTTGATGTAACAACATTTGGAATGCTGTACACCTGCCAGCGCACAGGCCACTGAGGAGAGAGCCAGGTCGTCTCACATTGTGCTGCATTTCCCAGTGTAAATTTTCAACACAGAACTCCTGTTTGTAATCACATAAGCCTAAAACCTAACTTCACTTAATTATGAACAGAATCCTTTAGTGATCAAGCTTTAATATACTCAAAAATTTCAAGGGTTGTAACAACTGTATAATGGAAATCTTTACCATGTTTAGCTTAAAATTTCACTACAAACCAGCCACCAGTTTAGGAAACCATATCAGTAATGGGAATGATGCCCATGGTATTTGAGTTGCCCGTGGATTTATCACACTGCATTTACACTGTGGGGACTGTGTGCCTCTACACTTATGGGCAAGATGATGTAGCTCACAATGACTTCTCCATAGTTTCACACGAGCATTTACATATTAAAATATGTACTTATCTGCTGTAATGTACTTTCATGTCCCCTCTTATTACTGCATTATATTAACTTTTAGAAATTATTACAAGGAAGTTGTACTTTCTATGAATTTCATTTCAGAGTTCTTATAATTAACTATTGGATGTAAAAGGAAGCTTTGATTCTAATAGAGTTGAAAACCAATGAATTGGACTATCTCAAATAACTTTAAGCTCTCAAAGCCATGGATTTATAAGTTTTACTTTGATCTATAAGGAAGGAGAAACTCTTACATGATTTTCACTAGTAATGTCAAATTGAATGTTTAAATTCCAGAAGAGAGCATCTGAAGCAGTCTGTTTTACCACTCTTGGCACCTAGAGAGAGTGGTTTGATCAGGAGAACACTAGTTGAACATACACTGCATTGGGTACTATGAGAACTCTTAAAAAATGAGGAAGTACTGTATTTGTTGCCCTCGCGACAATTTTTAGGCATAGAGTTCATCTACAGACAGAAGGAAGAAATGCACTTCTTTTAAAATCCGAACATTTCTTCTATTGCTCCCAAATTCCATTTATGTCAGAAGAGGAGGCAGGGAAATGAGACATTCTGAGCTATCAAAGCACATGTCATATTTCATTATTTTTACAGCATTGATATCTAGATAATTCTTTTCCTGTGCCTCTCGTATGCACACCTACACACCAATCATTAAAGTAAGTCAGGTTAAGACCACATCACCTCTATGGGGATAATGGCAAAAGATTTGCTAAATATGGCGGCATACAAGTATTTTAGTATATGATCAATAATTTTCATTCTATTCAGATTTTTACTGTGCACATGTCATTCCTGAAGAACACAGTACAATAAAATCAGGCTTTTTACAGTCAAATGCCTTGATTTTTGTTTCATATTTCACCTCCGATATATGATCATCTACTAAAACAAAACCTATGGGGCAGAAAGACATTTTCCCATTTTGCAAATCAAGCAGAAGCACGAATGTTTCTCAGGACCTCTAGCTGCTCTACTAGGCATTTCTCATCCTTTTGATAATGTGACCTTCACATGACAGAATTGGATCAAAAATAACACATTTTGATGGTACTTGTAAAAGTAATGGAGCTGCTGTCAAAAACACCCAGGATGGCCATGAAACTTGAATACATAGTAGGTGCTGCGGGGACTGAAGGAGGAGCTAATGTTTTCACTGTAATGTTTCCCTCTCATTAGTGTTTAACTTGTAAAAATTATTTAACATCCTTTGTCGAGTGATTTAAAAGGCAGAGTTTTGTCCCTATGGAAGCATTACAATGGTAAAAAAGATAGAACAATTTCATAATGCTGATTCATGTCATGATGAAAGACACGTGTTCATTCCTTCAAACATTCACTATTTGCTCCATGCAAAGTAACATGTTATAAATTATTACAAGTGTGTTTTATCTTAGAAAAACAGAACGTGACATACAGGTTTGTTTACATTCAAAATAGCTCTCAGAAGAGATAAAGGAGCTGGGAATATTTGGAGGAGTGTATGTCCTATTTCGTTCACCTACTTGTCTCCTGGGGAGAGACAGATAAATTCAGTTGGTGGTGGCTGTAGAAAGATTCTTAGAAGAGGTGCCACTTTAATTAGATTAGAAGAGAAAAGTAATGATTCCACCGAATTGCCTTATGGAATTGCATGAAACCAAACTCCAAAATACCTTCTGAGGAAGAAAGAAATTTTCTATTTCACTCTTTTGCATAGGTCTATTATAAAAGAACACTGCAAAGTGTCTTTTTGGCAATGCAGCGCTGTAAACAAAGAATAATATAGTTCCATTATATTTAGTGAGTAATTAAAACTAAGAAAGCTTATGGTCAAATAAAAAATTTTAGAATGATGAATATGCTGAAGGACATGAAATTTCTGTCCCCTTCAAACTCATGCTCTGGAACTGGTAGCTTTGAAATTTTTTCACATACTAACCATTTCCCAAAGCTGTGTTTATGGAATTATCATCTCTCTGTGCTTCTGGTCTCTGAATAAAGGACATTGTTCCTTTGGAAAGGGAAATATTAATAAATTCCTGAGAGATTAACATGGCCAGCTAACATTTTGAGCAAAATTCAATGCTTGATTCTATCTTTTGACCCCATTTGGTTGGATCAAATGTGACCAATTCACATTCTAGCAAGAGGTCTCTGAGTGGCCAACAGCTGTAACTCTTTCTGTCAGATTTTAGATGGACCCGTGGACCAATTAGGATCTCTATTAAGTAAGTGGTTTAAACAGGAGAATTATAGATAAAAAGGTGACAGATGACACAGAAGCCAGAAAAGAAAGAAGTGAGCAGGTTATAAAAAAGAGGCAAAATATCTAAACAGACAAAAATCATGAAGTGTGAAAAAGGAAAAGAATCAGAAGAGGCAGTAGCAGAGTGTACAGAGAATTAATCTCTTAGGCCTGACCACTGTCCTTGCAAGGGCCTGTAGAAACATTTGGCCCTTGGCTGACACCTGGGACTTGGATTTGGAGAATGTTTCCATGACCCAAACTTGTAAGAGTGGCTCATTGTGCAGAAATTATCTGTGCAAACAACACAGTTTATGCTGAACACCTGCTTTCCTTGTGGGACTCTGGAATCTCAGTATGTGTCAGGTAGAGTCTGCCTGGGTGAGCAACCTCCGATAAAAACCCTGGGCACTGAGTCTCTAATGAGCTTCCCTGGCAGACAGCATTTCACACAGGTTGTCACAACTC